TGTAAATCAATCGATGTTGTGTAGTTAGCAGAATTATAATCGCAAACACATTCAATACTACAGTAATTATTTGTCCAAATACAATCGTAACATGTTGTATTATATGGCGATCCCCCGCATAGATGACAATTAGCTATTGGAGTAACAAAAAATATCTCGGTTATTTCATGATATAAAAATAATATTCAAACTTTCTTTAACTATTATATCAATTAAAGGCATAAGTGACTGCTTTAACTTATTATTAGATGATAAAAAATGGAGACAGGCATTGTTTTGAACGAGTGCCACTTTATCTTTACTTTACAAAGTAAAGTAACCTAACTGTACTTTACTTTAAATTACTTTTTGAAGCAAAATAACGTTAAAGTGACATCCGCAGTGTCTAGTTAATTTCATTTCGTCAATATCTAAAAAAAAGCCCTAAATTCTATCATGTAATTACAATACATACTGGTGCTGCAATCTGAACCAGTCCATTCGGGCGAACATGTACATACACCAGGCGCTGTACAGTTTCCATCGTTCTCACAGGAAGGATCACAGACTGGTGTTTCGCATCGAGTACCATTCCATTGGGTAATATTACATGTACATACACCAGGCGATGAACAATTACCGTCATTGGAGCACGCTGGATCACAAATAGGTATCTCACATTGAGTACCCTTCCATTCAGTAATATTACATGTACAAACACCAGGCGATGTACAATTACCTCCATTGATGCAGGGTAGACTACAAACAGGTGCTTCACAATACGTACCACTCCACAATGAAGTACACTATAGATGAGAATAAATTAGTAAAGTATTTTTTTCAAATGAACATTTGACTAACTGAACAGTTATTTGGTGATATGCATGTTCCGCCATGTTGACACGTTGCATTTGGTCCTTGATAATCAAGTTCATCATGAAAGTTTATCGGTATACACACAGCTGCAAAAATCAATTCAAGAGAGATTTTATATGATTTAGAAGATTTTTCAACACATACGGTCTTGGCAAAGATCACCAGTATAACCTGTAGTACCTTCAAATTAACAAAAATATAACTTTAGAAAGTTAATATGACTATTATGATTTTATTTCTTACATTGACAAATATTAGGACCTATGCATGTGCCACCATTCTGGCACGATGTTGAGCATATTGCTGGTAGAGAAAAGAGAAAATTTTACTAAGATTTATAAATTAGTCGAGATTATATTGACTTACGAACTTGACAATAAGATCCATTCCAAGCTGTATTATCACAAAGACAAGTGCTCGGAGCAAGGCAAATTCCTATAATTATTAAATTCAATAAAGATAAAGTTCATCCATTAGATAATACAAGATAATGAGGAAAGGTTTTTTTCATGAAAGTCTTCATCATATTAGTTTTTTCTAAGTTTGTGTTTTTCTCATGAATTTCTCAATATGAATTATATCAAGTTCAAAGTATTTAAAACTTACCTCCATTTTGACAATATGGATTACATCTTGGTATAAGACATAAAAGTCCTGACCATGAACTTGTGCAATTGCATTCATTTGGTGCTACACATATACCTCCATTACTGCAGCCTTCCTCACAAATAGCTATAAAAAATTTTAAAAGTTCTATTTGTGTGACTCCTAGAATATTATTAACATACGATATTCACAGACGCTTCCATTATAACCAAATTGACATGTACAATTGTTTGGGGCTAAAAAAAGAATTACGAATTAGTATAAAAAACCAAAAATTAGATTATTGTACATACACACACATGTGCCTTGATTTTTACATGGATTTGAGCAAACAGCTGGAAAAACAAATCATTATTTAATATCATGATGATTTTTTATTTTATTTCGATTTAAAATTATTTTTAAAAAAGGACTTACGAGTACTACAGACTGAATCTGTCCAATTAACTGTACAATTACTAATGAGATAATAAATATTCATAATATAAATGAACAAAATACTAGAATTAGACATACCAAGTATGTGGTGTCGGTCCACACGTGCCACCATTTGTACAATTACGACTACATACAGCTAAAATGAAATATAATTAAAATGTAAAAGAGAAAATCTAAAATATAGATTACGTGTTTCACATTGTAATCCATCCCAATTAATAATATCACAAGAACAATTATCTGGTGAAATCTAATTAAAAACACGTATATATTAATATCTGGAATCAATCTTTCAATAAAATGTACTCACACAAGTACCACCGTTTAAACAAGGCATTGAACAAATAGCTAGAATGATTTCAAACAATTAAAATATTATTAAAGAAAATAAAAAGAATAGAAAACTAACCTATTTCGCAAGTTTGACCTGTCCATCCAGTAGCACAAGTACAATTATCTGGCGCTTAAAAATATTGACATTATTACATTGATTCAAATCAATCTGATAAAATATTACCCGTGCAATTTCCATTGTTCAAACATGAATTTCTGCATACAGCTAAAATATTATCGACAATATAGATATAATATTTAATAAATATTACTAACGATCTTCACATATTGACCCAGTATATGTTGATGGACATGTGCAATTCGATGGTGCAGTCTTATATTTAAAAAAAAATCAAATTTCAGGAAAAAATAGAAAATTTTGTTATTGTTTACTCACGCAATTGCCATCATGTAAACATTCCGATGGACAAATAGCTATGTACAAAAATAAACCAATTACTGCAATAGAAATTATCAATTATAAAAAACTTACGATATTGACAATAACTACCATTGTAACCTGCTGAACAAACACATGTATCAGGAGCAGTACAATTTGAATCATGCATACAATTAGGTGAGCAAATAGCTGTTAAAAAAAACATTTAATTTTCATTCAATATTAGTATCTATTGAGAGAATACTCACGAGTACTACATATACTATCTTCCCAACCCGTACTACAATTGCAAACATCTGGATATGTGCAATTTCCATTAATACATGATGGTGAACATATTGCTACAAATATAAGAATTAAACACTTTTATAATTAAACATATCAAATTATTTACGTTCATCACAAATTGTTCCATTCCAACCAACATTACATCTATAATTCAGATAAATTTATATTTTATGAAAAAGCTTTTAGAACAAATCTCTTACATGCAATTGTTTGGTGATGTACAAAATCCGTGTACACACGAAGGTGAACAAACAGCTAAAAAGAATTTACATCAAATTTATTATATAAAGAATTCAAACAATACTATTTACGTGTTAAACATAAATAACCAGTATATTTAACATCACAGCTATAGTAAACAATAAACATGCAGAAATATGTATGACACAAAGAAGAAATTTTAGCAACAAACCTGCAGTAATTGGGTAAAGTACAATTACCATTAACACATGCTGGTATGCAAATAGCTGAAAAAAAAGCAATTATTTAAATATAATTCATTCATTATTTTACAAAATTTAATCTTACGTTGATCACAAAAAGTTCCATTCCAACCAGCTTGACAAGTACATGCATATGGTTGTGCACACACACCATGATTACAACTTTGATTGCAAATAGCTGTAAAACAAAATATTTAAGTAGATTATCAATATTTTTTCTAATAATGAATTATCCAACTAATTGAACATTATTACATTTAATATCTTTTCGAGAACATCTATACTCGATTATTTATATCAATATGAAGATGAGAGTTCTTATACAAACAATTTAAATAAGAAATATTATCAAAAAAAAGCTGTCTCTATGAAATATTTTCCGATACAGATGGCAAAAATGAATATATATTTCTCTTGCTTGACTTTTTCAATACACATATTCAAAGTGATTAATTGAATCTTGCAATCATGAGCAACATTAGTAAAATTATATTCACTCGATTAGAGACATACACGAAGTGAAAAGTCTAGTCTCCATCGTCTATAATATTTCTGTTTGACATTGTTATAACTATCTTTAAACAGTATCTTTACTTAACTAATCTTCAGGCAAAAAGAAATTTCATTAAGGCTTATCGTAGCTGCTTCATCAAAAAATAATTAAAAAATGTATCCTAGTGATTATTAAAAGAGGCTTTTAAACTTGATTGTATGCAAAATAAAATTTTATCGTCTTGTAGTTTTTTTTGTTTTTGAGAAATAAAACAAATGATCTTACTTGTTTGACAACGATCTCCTTCATAGCCTGTTAAACAAGTGCAGACATTTTGGGCTGAACAACTACCACCATTCCAACATCCAGGATAACAAGAATAATCTATGTTGAACAAAGTATGTTAAGATTTTCATTTCGATATGATAAACAGATGTACCTCGATGTGTTTGAAGTGCTAAAAGAAAAGGTGGCAAAAATACGGCTGATGCTCCAATTATAACAAGTAATATTGCTGTGCCCACAAGTGGAACCAATGGTGAAATATCACCAGTAGATTTCAAAGGTGCTGCTAGTTTAGATGATACATTTTCTGATCGGTTCTTCCTAAAATATTAATCATATTTATATTGACATACATATTTCTGAATAGTTTCCTTACAATATAGATGATGGAGTAGAGATTGAACGATCACTAGTTAGTTTAATTGTTGGGGTAGCTGAAGGTAATTCATCCACAATCATCTGTGGTTGTGATATAACACTAATATGTGAATTGACTGGTGACAATTCATTGACAGTTATATCAGTTACGTGTAATTCTCCAACGTTAACATTTGTAGATGATACATTTTCAACGAAGGTAACAACAGGTTTTGGATATGGCTGAACAGGATCACTGCTAAGTGCTATTTTAATTAATTTTTGTTGTCTAGCTTGAAATGCTGAGTGAGTTAAATTGGATGTCATATCTATAATAAATATTATTAATTAATCTATCATATGCTTATTAAATTAGTTAAATAAACCTAAAAACTTATTTAGTATTATATCAAGTGAAAATATCAGACCTAAAATCCTAAAACATACTTGAGGATTAGTCAAAGTACTATTTGAAAATTTTGCATAACATGTCAAATCAACTTTATTATGAAATAAATGAAAGATTACTTTCACTGTATTTTTTCTATCGTTTTGTTTACTTTATTTTCAAACTCATGAGAACAAGCAAACATGAAAAGACGATTTGGTACTTGAATAGAAGATGAACGCGCGTTTGCTTTTCATAAAAGCTAAACATTTAAAATTACCGTGTGCACCATTATGCCAATAGCAAGTAGGTTAATTTAGTTGATTAAATAAACAAAAACCTTTATATTCTTCTATACGAAACGATCGCCTACCTATTTACATCTCGATAAGTAGAAAAGTGCAGCAGCATTGTCTAAATTTTAGTGAGCAACATTTGCCAACGTAAAAAAATACCCGATTTTTTCAAAAGTATTTATATTTACGAAAAACTATAAAATGTAATTTAAATTGTTTCCATTACATTTATCGACTCTTGAATACCAATGGATCATATATTGTAGAACACATATTCTCGGAGAATGTAGTGATTGAAATTTTTAAATCGAAGTTTTGCAACTTCTTTTCCGTCTTCCGCACCATTACAGACTTTAGCAATCAAGGATAACAGATATTAGACTCCTTTCAGAGAGTTTTTCATCGATGAAAGGAGACGTTGAACAACATGACTTGGGCTGTTCTGGAAAATTCTAAAACATCCGAAAACTTTTGTCAAAATCTGAATAGCTGAAATGCGTTGGTGAATGTTTTAAACTATGCAGTTTGTAATTTTTTTCCAGACAAAAATTTATATGCAAGATGTCAATGATGATTGTTAATGATGCATTCATTTACCACAGTTGTCACAAGATCAATACATAAAGTGTGAAATGATCAAGTTATAACTAGGGGAAGTAATCAAAATTAGTGTTTGGGGGCTGATTGAGATACATGATATTACGTTAAGATCTGCTGTTGTAAAAATAGTGCATGTTTACAACAGCCTTATTTGACATTTAATTAAATACTTATAATAATAACAATGTTAAATTAAGAAAAACGAAATACGAAACAGAAAAATAATAAAGCGTATAGCAACAACGCAAACAAAAAAACAAACACCTGTAAAAAAAAGAAAAGTTTCTGCTCGAAATTCACAAATAAAGAAAACAGATTTTTACTCTCGCAATCGATTATCTTCGAAAATACTATGGTCAACGGAAGATTTTCCACTTTAGGTATTTTTTATTAGTTCGATCAGGCTAAACAGCATGTTATTTCCACATTTCAGTGCCGAAGAGATTGCACTAACAAGCTTTTTTAAGTACATTTAACTTTTTTCATTAGAATTTATCTTCAAGTACTCTCTTCAAAACAAATCATTTTTGTATAAATATTTCTTTAAATTTGGCGTCATCATGAATTTTTTTATTTTTCAGGCAACTAGATATTTTTTAATTTATAAAAATGAAGAACATAATGATGAATATAAAAAGTAATAATATAATTTTATTGCTTGAAAAAAAGAAAAACAACAATGAGAAGAAAAAAATAAATTATTAATAATGCAAGGTCTTTCGAGCTATATCTTTTCAAACGACTTTCATGACAAGATATCAATTGCATATAATGTAGAAAAATAATTGGAAAAAGTCAAGTGAGATATAGTATATGTAATCAGTTTTTTAATAATAAGGTCGAGACGCGTCAGACGTTCTGCAGAATACGTACCAAGCAGAATCCAGAATTTCCTAGACTTGGTCATATTAGATAGCAGATCAAACATAATGAAGTCTACAATTACAACGCCACTTTTTTAATCCACGTTCATTAATAGACAAAAAGGATTCTGCTGGCACAAATCTACTAAAAGTTTAAAAAGTTATAGCCAACTTTTGTCAAAATTCAACTCTCAGCATTGGAAGATAAATTTTACCATTTACAACACTCTTCAAAGAAAAAAAAAAATTTGCTGAAAATTTAAAAGTGCCACCAGAATTTGAATAGAATTCTATTGCTCTAAATAGAAAACAAAGTTTTCCAAAACTTCTTCCTGATGAAAAAAAAACTCTAGTGAAGGTTTTAAAAAATCAGCAGAGGTTTGATAGAACTTCGCCGTTATTTGTAGAAAGCGAGGTTTAACTAAAGCACTCTCTCTCTGATCAAAACAAAATTCTGCCAAGAATAATAAACGTTTACAGAAATTTGGCAGAATTTTTCATGTTCTAGTAGAAGACAAAATTTGTCACGGGCATATTTGGCAAATATTTTCTCTATCTAAACACAAAATTCTGCTAAGAATGCAAACAATACTGCTGAATTATAATAACATTATACTTTTATTGGTTGAAAATCAAGTTTTCCAAATACATATTCTTCTTGATGAAAAACAAATTTCTCCTGAAAATTGTAAAAAATAGTAGATTATGATATCATTTTATAGTTATCAGCAGAAGACAACACATTACACATACATTCAGCAGCAAATGCCCAAAACGATATACTTTATGAAAATAATTTCGTTTCTCAAAACTACTAGTATCCATTTAGAAATTGCAAAAGATAAATCATCAAATACTTATTACAGTTTGGAAGCTAACCATAATTTCAATAAAATTCTATATCGACAGTAACTTTGCTAGTATTCATCTTTCATAGAATTGGCCTTCGCTAACACAGAGTTCTATGTAGAGCTTAAAAAGAAAGACAATAGAATTCTAATATCCAATATTCATAGTAACTATCATTGCCACGAACCACTAAATGCCATATTCTACTGTTGATCGAAACTAAATGTGACGAAGAGTTCGAAATATAAAAAGCTATAAGACTCAAGTTGATACATAGTAACAACATAGGATGTCAAGATTCATCTTTCCAGTTTGATTATCGTAGCTTTAAACATTTTAAAATAATGTTCAATGCATCTTTCGATGCGAAATCAAATTTGCTACCATATGCTACTGTTATCCTTTCTGTAAGTCTTTGGTGACATGAATATTTCATCAAAATAATCCACAGTGTGTATGGATTGAAGTGCAACCAGCACCTACCTAACAAAGCAGACGAATAGATTCTTGCCCTTCAAAAATACAATCGTGACATTGAAATGATTATCTGCGTTCATTGTGAGAAAAAGAGATACTCATTGATTCTAAATCTCTGAATCATCTGAGAATGCATGTCCATTCAGTCTTCGGCTTAAAGAGAACACGTGGAGGAAATGTGATGGTGTACGGTAGACTCCTTACTCAAATGGACTGGTGCTCTAGCAAAGACACTTGGGAGGCTTGCACTATTATTGTACCAAGACCCGGATAGGATATTTTGAAAGATCTTTCTCTCCAAGAAATTTTCCTAAAGACTGAAAGTTGGAAAAGAGAACACTAGTGATTAGTTCTCAGTACTTTTTTGATACAAAGAAAAGCAAAACTGTCTGTATGCTTTGCTGCAACGCAGTTAAAAGACACTAAAATAAGAGTCTCTGAGTTTTTTTTTGATTTAGACTGAATTTTCAATAAAAAAAAAAAAGATGCCCCCTTTTAAAAGACGCCGGTACTTCGGGTGAGGGGAGGGGCAGAGAAAGCAGGTCGCTGAACTCAAAGCACAGTCACCCTAGATTTAAGCAATGGTCTGACAAACTTAATTCCTCTTGAATGAATCATATTCAAATAGATTTACTACCTATGTCGAATACGTGCTCGCTACAATTATATATATATATCACACTGGACTCATAAATGTTACGTCACCGGCAGAAGCAAGACATAAAAATTACATAGCTTTAAATACATATACCCTTCTTTTTTTGGGATCGGAGAGGAGCTAGGGGGCTTGAGAATTGTATAGCTATATATGTATGCGTATACCCGCCTTTCTTGCGGGGGTGGGACTAGAGGAACTTATGAACTTCATATACATAATTCTGAAGCCTCCCTATTCACCCTAGTCTATCCCTGATCTCAAACTGCTTTAAATTCTGACTGAAATCAGACAGTCCATTGTATGCAAAACAATGACGGACGTACCGTGACGCTTAGGCATCCATGTTTCGTCAATAACCAAAGATTAAAAAGTGGAGACCTGGCACAACTTACTTTCTACTTGGGTTACGTGTACGAGTGATGTATCGACAAAGAAAACTGTAAATCGTGCATTCAAATAGTCAAGAGAAAGGAAGAAACTCAGAACGATGACAGCGAATTGTCGGCAGAAGAACGACATAGACGAGTGATGCGCAGCTTTAATTTTGATCTCCAGAAGATAATTTATGTGCATTGTGGCAAAGGAATGAAACAGGCTAACAATGCTCCTACTACACTTAATCTTCACACATATGTGACTAATAATAAAGTTCAAAGTAGGCTGTTTCATAAGATGTCGTGATGCCCCGATGCAGGCTGCAAGGAATGTCTCAAGATTCGGGACGGAAGTAATTAGGCTGATATAGAAGATACTGAACTACGCGGCCAAATACACAGATAGGTTAGGTAAATACTAAGTAACACAATTAGACAGATTAGGCTACAATATACAGACTAACACACATAGGATACATTACGATATGATAGCCTAGGATAGATGAGAGTCAGGTGGTAAGATACGTTTAGTTTAGGTTGAGAATAGATAAATGTATCATGGTAAGATAAGTTTAGGTTAGGTTAAGATATGTGAGATTTATGTCTTAAATTAACATTGGCACCATCGTCATCTCGACCATGAATGTTAGCATCATCGTCTTGGCACCAACGTGAACATCAAGATGATCGATTTCACTATCGTCGTCAACCTCTTCATTTTTGCCATCAACATTAACATTATCTTCGCCATCGACATCATCATTTTCTTCAACAACATCAACATCATCTGGACTATGTACATTTGCATCATCATCTTCATCATCAACATGAAAATCAACATCATTATCTTCAACAGTAACACTAATACGCTCATCTTTAGCATGAGCATGAAGATCATCTTCACCATCAACTTTGGTGTCATCATCTCTCCCTTCAGCATCATAATTTTCGCTATCAATATCAATATCAACAGTATCGTTTTCATCATCGACTTTACCATCATGATTTTCGTCGTTAATATCAATACCTTCATCTTTACCATCAACATGGACATTAACATCATCTTCACGATCAAGATGACCACTTCTTAGGGTCCTGCGGAAACGAATTTTCCCGTCCCGTTTCCCACGAGAATCGAGAACACGAGAACGAGAACGTGGGAATGGGAACGATAGAAAAAATATCCATTCTCCGAAATTCGCTTGTCCTATTTCTATGTGCGCTAAAGTGTGTTCCTGTAACAGACTTTTGTTTTCAATAACTATTTTCATATATAATAAACAAAAAAAAAACCGCAAATATCTATCAACAAAATTATGGAAATTCATTCGTTTTTCAATACATCTTACATTATGATGACGATCAGCTTCTTTATAATTATCATCGAAAGCACGATTATCAAGATTATCTTACAACACATTAATATCATCTTCTTTTGAAATTTTTGCTTTTGTCATTGGTGTTATCGAAGTGCAAATATTTATTCTTTTTCTTAATTACTCAGTTGATGATGGAAATAATTCTCTCGAGGTTGGTAAATTTCAATTTCCAAACAATAGCTGATTTATTTTACTTCTATGAAACGTGTATGACGACTTCTTGTTGTATCTCTGCTATTTGAAAAAGGATGTTTTTAGGATATTAATTGTCGAAATACACAGCACTCGCTGAGCTATTGCAGACAGTATAGAGTTAACTATTTATTATTGTTTCAATATATAGAAACGTCCACGTCTTTTTCTGCTTGTATCTGATCTTCAACGTATCTTATGAATTCAGTCTTTATTTCTTTTTCATCGTGTCACTTATCTAATGATATTAGCACACATCCGCACCCTCAGAATATGAAACGAAACGTTGCAGACTGATAGTATCGACAATAGATAAATTTAATTTCGATGCAGCTAACTATAACCTATGTAACATTCTGAAAAACGTAATGCTGTTAGAAGCTAGTATCAGACAACGGTAGTTTTTTTGAAATGTAAAAAAATGAAATATCATTAGAGATTCTGAACGCCTTGTGAGAACGGGAACAAAAATTATTTTTGTCGGGAACGGAAACGGGAATCCAAAAAAGTTGTTCCTGCAGGACTCTACCACTTTCCCCATCAGCATGAACACGTTCATCCTTACCATAAATATCCGCGTTATCTCCACCATGAACAAAAGCGAGCGAAGAGCATTATTTTTTTTTTGTTTTCTTGGTTTAAAGGTACCCATTCATATCTGAAAAAAAGGCAAGTTTCCAGCTGTTCTAGCTTACGAGAAATCAGAGCAACAGTGTCGAATACCAAGTTTCTAACTGCATCTGTTGCAAGAAGATCAATTTTTTTAGTCAATTGCAATGTTTATTAAAAATTATTTTGTCAGCTATAATTGTAAAGCTTGTCAAGCGCTTTCAGAATATGTGATTACTTTTTGCTTTAGATATCGTTTTATTAACGAAAAGCCATCGGCAACGCTCATTAAGACACTTCTAATTTTTCCGTAGAGCGACATTAATATCATTGGCATTTCGTTTGAAGAAATTTTATTTGAACAAAATTGATTGGGTATCAAAGAGAAATAGGGGCGAATCATCTTAACAAGTAAAAGAAGTTTGTTTCATAAATTTCGTTAATTAAAAAATTTTATACGAAGTTAAAAAGAACTATGTTCACATAAGATATAGAACGACATTTTCAATTCAGTTATAGCTATACCTCGACAAAAACTAAACCCTTTGCAAAACGAATTGGAGTCTTTTTTCAGCTCATAGAGTAGAGTAACATCCCAAAAGCTAAAGCAAAAAGCTTTCTTCATCCGAGAGAAAGTTCAGTTTTATTAACAAAGTGTAGAGTAACGTGAAAATCATTGGCATTTTATTTGAGTATATTTCATTTGAACAAATTTGATTATATATGAAACAGTAATGGAATCGAAATTATTTGAGAAGCAAAAGACATTTGTTTCATAAACTTCTTTAGAGCAACAATTTCAAACAAAATTTAAATGATATTCGTACTGCATGTAGATCAACTTGTAAATTTTTTTATGGCTATAACGAATGTAAACTGCCCAGGCAGACAAACTTTTGAGAAAACGTATTTAAACGCACAAAAATTTGCTTAAAATCAACAAAAAGCGTGAGCAAAAAACGTCCACTCTTTGCTGATTTTAGGCCAATTTTTGTGCGCTTAAACGTGTTTCTCAAAAGTTTGTCTGCTTGGGTGAACCGTTTCCACAAGACTTTTATGTGTTTTTCAATCCACATAGTAGTGCAATATCTAAAAAAATCAAGCAAAAATCTTTCTTCATTCAAGAGAAAATTTAGTTTTACTAGCAAAGTGTAGAGCAATATTTTTTGAAGTATTTATGTACAAGACTAATTGATATCTAAGAATAGCATACAGAAATCGGCTCCGACACACAGAAGTGTTTGAAAAATATTATTTTCATTCGCAATCGGCATCACTATATTATAGTCAATACTTAGTTGCTTTATTATTAGCAACTTTTTTTTTAACGATTTTTTCCTCGAATTTTACAATGATTACGCTCTGCACTCTAGCATCATCATCGTCATCATCACCATCAAGATCGTCTTTATCATCAGCATCAACATCAACATCAAGAGGATCATTTTCATCATCAATATCTAAGCATTCATCTTTACCATCCAACATTAGTATTATCATTCTGAGCACCAATATCGACATCAATATTATCATTTTTTCTGTCAGCATCATCATGAACATCAGCATCATAATCTTCATTATGATCGTTATCTTGGAGTAAAGCGATTGTATCGGATGCTATTTGTTAGACCTGCAACAGCTTTCAGTTCAAAGAAGCGACTGTTTTTCGAGAACTGGGTCCAATTAACAGTTCTTTTTCAGGAACTATACCAAGGGAATAGTGCGCTTCTAAGAACTGGATCTAGTAATTAATATTTCATTTTTTTTTCAGAATTAAGCATTTCTATTCTACCGTTAAGTTTCTGTTAGCTTTATTCCCGTACCTTTGTGGAGTTCACAAGCTTGACCCATAATGTAGCAATTATAAATCTAATAGGGAGATTAAAGTGAGATTTCTTTGGGCATTAGTTCAGTCAAAAAGAATTGTTATATAGATAAGGATGAGGGTGTGGGTGTGGGATGTAGTTGTCTGTATAGACTTCGATGTTTCGTTTTCGTTTACACCGACATCCACTCTTAGATTTTTAGCCTGGCATGCAGGCATCTCCAGTCTTACCAGACCAGACCGAAAAAAGTGGCCTGTAGGCAGCTCTGATTTATGCAAAAGGATGATCAATAATAATATTGGCTATCAAAACAACAACAGGATATAACTTTATTCAAGGTAATTGTTGAAAAGCCGTTTGTTTCTCATTTCAGAAAAAAATTGTTATTACAGCATCTCTCAAAAATCCTTTTACACATTTCATGCATTTGAAAATTATTTTTAATTTTTCATCAAGTACTATTTATCCGCTAGATGTTGTAGGTAGGCTGGAGAAATTGCAGCCCGAGAATAACCAAAAATTCTAAAATTTTCAATATGTAATAGGTAATATGTAATGACTAAAGATTCTCCTGTTGGTACATAAATTTGCATTGATAATATAAGAAATTGAAATATTCTCTGTACTACTTCGCCTTCTTCAAAGTTCTGTTAATTTTAAATTTTCACTTATGTCAAAAATAACAAATGACAAATAAACATTTATTGGCTGCATATTCGAACGAAACAGGCATGCTTTTTTCACATTACGATTAAGTCATCGATCGTCTACTATATTCAGTAACATGAGAGAAATTGAATTTTGAAAGAATCAAAGACATAAATAGGACGACTTGGTCACATTTTTGGAGTGTTGGGTTACTATTTCTTTGTATTACTATGACTTGGTAAGTGATGATAATTATTATTACTTATCACTTTTCAACGCAGTTTACTTTGGTTTTCTTATATTAGTGATTCTAGAGATATTTATTACTAATTTTTTTTTATTACCTTTAAAATTTTATTATTTATTACCAGTAAGTAATATATTTTTTTAATTTCTTATAATCGGTAGTAAGTAATGGTAATGTGACATCCCTAGTCATATTATCATCAGATTCGGTGATCGAAGTTACCAGATCAATTGGTTTTATTCAGTAATAACATATTTGTGCATATTATTTGTGTTACCTTTCGTTCGTGTCTATAAACAAACCAATTGTTAAACAGATTTTGTTCCATTGCTTACAGCTCACTAAAAATAATTTCCTCAGAGAGGCGTTTGAGCGAAAGTTTTATTAATATTCCTGTACTATCATCGAAAGTCGATACATTTACAAATAATCTCTTCGATTGTTTATAGTAAAGATGAACTACAGAATATCATCATGCAAAAAATTCTCAATATTTATAGATATATTTTATTTCAACATTTAATATTCAACGAATAACAATAAAATTGAAAGAAATTCATTGACTATCTGCTTTGTCGTCGAGACATTGATGAAGAACACGATAAGTACGATGATAGAAAATTTAATTTTTTGAAGATAGTTGACATTTAAGCAACATTGGTGACTCATTTACTCTGGTAAATACGGAAGAAATTCACAGAAAAAATGAATATTGAATCATTACCCAACGAATTATTAACTCACATATACGAATTTCTCTGTACTGATCATCTTATTTCTGCCTTCCATGGTCTTAATTCTTGATTTAATTCTCTAATTTTTTATCATTTCGCCATTTACGATATCGACTTTCAATTATTATCTTCGAATGAGTTTCTTATAATCTGTCGAGAATATGTTCCAATTTTGATTGATAAAGTACTATTATTGTGTTTCTCAGAGAACAAGGATTTCTCTCGTTCATTTGATCGATTCGATGTTCATAGTTTCACACTTGGTCAATTTATTCAATTGAAATCACTTTCATTAAGTTATATTCGACGCAAACAGTTAATAGAAAAAATCGTGTTGGGATTTACCTCACTTAATCAATCTCACCAATTTGACCCTCAAGCATTTTTCGTTGCTAAATGGTGAGTGTGGGAATCTATCAATTGGTCTTCGTTTAATAAATTGTATATGGAGTCTACCGAAGCTTGCTCGTTGTTATTTTGAGGACATTGTGCATATGAATTTGGTTATAGCATCTTCCCAGAACCAACCATGATATCATTAAGTATCACATATCTGTCTATATTCGATCTTGATACTAATTCTTTCTACTTTGATCGACTGTGTGCAAGGACACCAAATCTTCAACACATCACAGTTTCCTTGTTCGCCAGTGCTTTTAACAAATTCCTAACATCATCTGCTGTATCAATAACATCTTTCGAGCTGCCGCTATATGATTATTAATGTGATTTATTCAGCATGTTATAATGGATGCCTAAGCTGTGACAATTGAAAATGGACTGTTTACAATGCATTGTTGGACATAAATGGAAACAAATGATCTCTAATAATTTGCCTAAACTAAAAAAGTTCCATTTTAAAATGCCAGGTTACTTTAGAAAAAATGAAAACGTAAAAGAGCAAGTTGATAATGACTCAATACATTTCGAGCTTCATTTTGGTTTGATGAACATGGATGGTTTGTTCGATGTCATTGGAAATCAACGCAGCAAAACGCTTTTCTATATACTTTATCATACGCTTTTAGCGAATTTAGCGCATCATTTCAACCATTCATGAAATTTACTTGCTCTCAAGAAAAGAATCAACAGTCATATGATGCTGTACGTTGTTTGGTATACTATGATGAAACTGGAAAATGCTCACAACTATCTGATATTCAGTTCTACAAGTTAGAAAAACTGGATTTAGAATTTCCTGTCGATGATGATTTCTGGTCAATGGTTCCAAGATTCGATTATTTAACTTCATTTAAGATACAATGCTATGATAATAGTGAAGAATGTAAAAATCAACTCAAACTTTTATTCTTTTGCGCATCCCAGCTATGATTCTCAGACTTTTCAAATTGTAATAACTCTGATCGTATAGAGAATCTACCATTAGAAACTAACAATCGATTGATAAAACGGCTTGATTGACAAGAATATAAATCATACGATGAGGTGGAATGTGCACGGTTGAGTCGTTCACCTCTTGTTATGCAATGTGAAGAACTTCATATTGGTGTACAAAATGAAATATCAATATGTTATCGAGTGAAAACAATGCAAAATTTGCGATTATTGTGTGTTAAACAGAAGAAGCAAAAGCAAAATACACTTGAAGGTAACAGCAAAATAATAAACTCAACAGATGAACTTGTCAATTGGTTACGCAGCAATTGCCAGGTGTTCGACCATTTCTTGAAATTTCTCATTGGTGCTGCACTATCATATTGACATTATATTAATAGAAATTGTACTTGACATCATTAAAAGAAAACTAGTCGACTTCTTTTGGTTTTATCATGCATATAAGAGCTTATTCATCAATATTTTTGTCTCATAGTTTGTTTTGTATTACGCATATTACCAACACTGGAATTTGTTTTTCAATATAATACTATCGAGAAAGAAGGAGAGACAACAAATAAGTAAAAAAAAAACAATGAGAAGTGTGCTTGCAAAGAAATGAAAGAGTTCTTATTCCAATCTGCACCAGAATCATCAAAGTATTCTATTGGTTATGTTTAGTATTGAATAGTAATGACCAGAATTCAAATGATAATTTTTAGTTTTATGCAATTTAAAAGATGTTTGTATTGATGATAGTATTTCCAGTTAAAGTCTTAAGGTGAGATATCAGAGTCCGAAAATGAATCGTATTGAATCTTTTCTAACATATTGGGTTCATAATGACTTCTTTCTTGTTTTTTTAATACTGACATACTTATATGAAGGTTAGATTCAGGCTTCGAAATCGGGCCATTCTTTAGTGGTCTGGTCCAGCTTATAGTGGCCCAAGATTTTTTCATGCTCGCTCAGCCCGTCTTCTACTCTGTCGGAGCGCAGCCCGGCTCGAGATGTGGTTGTATGTAAGTGTTCTCTCCGGCATCGTCTAAGTCCACACCTACACACCAATAATACGAAAAACTTCATACGAAAAGGAACACAAGCGAAGTTGTTTCTCTCTCTCAAAATGTATAAATATGTTCATTCATAATAATGAAATATAGTTTACGTTTCCAATTGACCTGCTTTTTCAGTTCTCTTTTACCTTCTATCTTTGCCAGTCATCGACTCCTGTAGAAACATTTGAGGAAAAATCAAACAAAACTTTACTAGATCTTCTATTAAAAGGGTGTAACAAAAAACTGGATGAGTAAATTATCACCACCCTCAATAATGATGTTTATTAGCTACTTCACATCTCCAGCATGTATCTACTGCATATTCTATACATGTTTATATAGGAGAGAGGAAGAGAGAGAGAGAGAGATGAGTAAAGAAAGAAACAATAGAGGGAGGTAAAGAGGAAAGAGGAGAGAACGATCACTGGGAGATATTATCAATATCGGCACAAAGGATGTGGGTGTAGGTGCGAAAAATAGTATCATGTTAACCCACATAAGACCATACCTAAACCTACACCCACACCCAAATGCATATACTTTTAATCGATATCTACACACCTTCATTTCTATTTGATTTGTGACAGAAAATAGAAAAAATTATGTGCATTAAACGTCTGACTCCATGCAGAATACTACACAAAGACAATTTTGTTTCTCTCTTCGAGACAGTTCTCATGAGATTAGTCGAAGTTTTCTTTTTTCATTTGTGTTATTCAATGAGTCAATGAATCCAGTCATATGCTAGAAGTGCTCAATGAAGAAGGAATTAACTTTGAATCAATGTTAAAATCGAAGAAAAAAAGCATTCCGTTAAGTTGATCTCGATGAGTGTTTCGTTAGATGATGTTTCGACCAAATCGATAAAATTGTTTCTAAAGAAAAGATCTGATGAAATCCGTTGAATATCTTGATCGAAGAATCATCAATCAAATTAACGACGATCGCAACATCAAACCATTGTTTATTAGCAGTTTCCTCATTCAATTTAACTCTTTTTGCTGTCAGCGAACATGTTAGTGATTCAACACATCACATTGTCACTCACAAATATTCGTTATTACCGATTCTATCGAGATCAATTATTATCAAATTGCACTTCATCGTGGAAGCACACATACCACAAGTATTTGTTTGACAAACATATAGGGATTTTTCTCCGTGTCACGCTTTTAATGAAGGGTACAGTTGTGACTGCCTGTCAATGTATGTCTGGCTTATGAATGTGAGTGTCTTTGTTTGGTTATTATCTTCAGTAAAACTTACATCTGGATTCTATCTTATGTCGACTATTGATTACGTTTTAATTGCAGATATAAAAAACTTGCATGCATCTATGTAGTTATGACATTATTTCATTTGTTTTGTAAAATGTGTTTTAAAGCAACAAGTAAAATCTAAGCTATGCTATTCAATATTCGATTGCGATACATTAAGTAGTCGTTCCTACAAGAAATGAGTTCTTATTCATACTAATAGATATTGGGTAACAGTAAGATTTAAGAATCGAATACGGTATTATGTTGTCATGTGCGCAAGATGTGTTTTTTTCTTCAACAGAAGTTATGTGACTCAAGTGTTAAGCACAGTCATATTTTCAAGCGCTGTTTACTATTGCAATCAAACAATGAGAGATTGACGCCACATGCGGATGTTCTAGAGATCTATCAAATCATTTTGAAACATGAATTTATGCCTAGGAAATTCTAGATTTGTTTGAATGTCAACAATAAAATTCTTTTGAAAGAAATATTTTCTATATATAGACCTTGAAATATAATCTGGAAGATGATAGCACATCCTTCTCTATCTTTCATAAACGATGACAGACATCTAGATATACTGCTATTTTGACTTCACCATGAACTGTTATAGAAACTGCCAGATTATTCAGCGTTCAACGTGAGAGCAAGCACAGGGTTTTGTTGAAAAATTTAATAAAAATTCGATATCATAAGAACGAAGGTATCAAAAAACAAATCATTCTAGAGTTTTTCTATACACACCAGTGCTCATAGAACTAGCATAGCCCAAAGCCAGAAACGATTTAGCACTGGGAGATGTTTCCTCGTGAGCTATCAAGGTTTCTCTATGAAGAGCCCAAAGTTAGAAGCCAATGATGATGAGTAATGTTTAAAACCGAACAATCATTGCAGTAGTTTAAAAATTCATGCATTTGAACTTTTAATGTCTATTGGAAACGGTTTGAAGCCTAATTGATCAAAAAGATAAGCATTTATTATACTAATTCTGCAGTACCGATCTGCATGGCAGATTATATTTGCGACGTCATATCTCAGTAAGGATTTAAGTGTGCATCTTTGCGAATCCACCTAAGATGGATGACGGCAAGTTCTATAAAATAGTAAATTAAAATTAAAATTAAAGCTCCAAGAAAATCCGGGAAACGAATGGCATATTCACTAGTCGTTATTTTTTAGTACATTACGAGCAGAATATTTGGTTCTACTAGAACAAAAGGAAATTCAGACAGCCCGAAAGCCCTATAACATAGAGAACACATATACCACTAAATAACTGCACAATATCTAATGGATATGATTATAGGTCTTCAATTTGAAACAAACTTTATACTTCTAAGGTCCTTACAGTGGCATTCACCTATTTTACCTACTTTGTGGTAGCTGCTGCAAGACGGCTACTCACTTGCAATCAGAATCCAAGATGCAGTTAAATGCAAGGCTATAGTAGCTTTAATGCTAGTTAGGAAATAGGTTCAAATCTCACAAATCAATTTTCTCGCCTGGCTGTCCACTATGATGCACCACATCCATACTCTTCTATTTCTCTTATACACTTATTTAATGGAAGTAAAGTATGAATAAGAAAATCAATATTATTTTCGTTACTCACAATTTTCAAAATGAAACTATTTTAGTTCTTGAAGATACATAATGTAGATTATTGAAAAGTTAACAGAGAAATACATGACAATAGACGTTTATAGTTATGCCCCAATTTGGCTAATGATAAATCAATGTGTCTATTACTTTTTCGTGTGAAAATATGTGAGAAAAAAATTGAAATTCACGATGGTGAATTAACATTCATCTTTTAGAACCATTCATTAGCATCATTAGTAATTTTATATTTATGAAATACCTATCAATTATCGAATTTTAATGGTTTTTAAATAGCTTTGTCAATCTTATAAAATTCAAGAGTCAATATATAAATAAAACTTCTTGTAATTCATTCAGAAAAAAAACGAGACTTTTCTTTTTAAAGTTCAAATGAATACTTTTAATTGTTAATTATCAAGTGAAGAATCACATTATATTGTCTGAAATTCAACAAAACCATACAATAGTTACTTGAAGTAATTTATATTTTATACGTTCAAAAATTTGTAAGAAAGTCTTAGAACATGAGAAGCAAAAAGATTAAAATCAAGATGTAAAAATAAATTCAATCCTAAATCGGAAATCTGTGTCTTGTAAATGTAACGAGACCACAGTATGCTCTATTCGTCAATATTTCAGATGTCATTGGCAGGAACCGCTGCAAGTAAGGTTGCCATTGGTGTTGTCCAGAAGACATCCATTACCCACACCTGTTTGTAAATCAATCGATGTTGTGTAGTTAGCAGAATTATAATCGCAAACACATTCAAAAGTACAGTAATTATTTGTCCAAATACAATCGTAACATGTTGTATTATATGGCGATCCCGCGCATAGATGACAATTAGCTATTGGAGTAACAAAAAATATCTCGGTTATTTTATGATATAAAAATAATATTCAAACTTTCTTTAACTATTATATCAATTAAAGGCATAAGTGACTGCTTTAACTTATTATTAGATGATAAAAAATGGAGACAGGCATTGTCTTGAACGAATGCCACTTTATCTTTACTTTACCAAGTAAAGTAACCCAACTGTACTTTACTTTAAATTACTTTTTGAAGCAAAATAAAATTAAAGTGACATCCGCAGTGTCTAGCTAATTTCATTTCGTCAATATCTAGAAAAAGCCTTAAATTCTATCATGTAATTACAATACATACTGGTGTTGCAATCTGAACCAGTCCATTCGGGCGAACATGTACATACACCAGGCGCTGTACAGTTTCCATCGTTCTCACAGGAAGGATCACAGACTGGTATTTCGCATCGAGTACCATTCCATTGAGTAATATTACATGTACATACATCAGGTGCTGTGCAGTTTCCATCGTTCTCACAGGAAGGATCGCAGACAGGTATTTCACATCGAGTACCATTCCATTGAGTAATATTACATGTACATACACCAGGTGCTGTGCAATTTCCGTCGTTTTCACAGGAAGGATCGCAGACAGGTATTTCACAACGAGTACCATTCCATTGGGTAATATTACATGTACATACACCAGGTGCTGTGCAATTTCCGTCGTTCTCACAGGAAGGATCACAGACTGGTATTTCACATCGAGTACCATTCCATTGGGTAATATTACATGTACATACACCAGGTGCTGTACAGTTTCCCTCGTACTCACAGGAAGGATCACAGACTGGTATTTCACAACGAGTACCATTCCATTGGGTAATATTACATGTACATACACCAGGTGCTGTACAGTTTCCATCGTTCTCACAGGAAGGATCGCAGACAGGTATTTCGCATCGAGTACCATTCCATTGGGTAATATTACATGTACATATACCAGGTGCTGTACAGTTTCGGGCGTTCTCACAGGAAGGATCACAGACAGGTATTTCAC